GGCACAAATTCGCTTTCCTTCTGCTGCTAACAGGATGAAACTGCTGAAGATCGTAGTTCATTCGTGACTGCCTTTTTTCTTGTCCTACTCTATGTAGAAACGTACAGTAAGCTTACTGTCACTGTTACTAATCCGGAACACCCTTGTGTAGGTGCAGGAGTTGACTTGGCAGTGGAAGAGATTTGCTTCAGTGTTTCGACTACGTAGATGCCCTGGGTCTCACCCAACTTCTAGTCTTATTTGAGAACTTCTACTACATTGCGTGTACCTGTCGTTTTGGTATACACATTCTTGGCATCGTCATTTCACTTACTGCTTCACAGAGGCATTGTTAGTTGCTGGCAGGGGAAGTGTGTGCAGTCCTAGAGGAAGACGAACATAAAAGATGTTTCCATTACAGATGTGCTAGACTGTGGCCAACGACCAGTGAAGTTACGGTAAGTATGACCAAACTTGTACGCGAGTGCATGACTGGTAGGCACTAAGCAATACGAGTCGAAGGGCTGCAATGTTTGTGTATATTATCAGTCTTCGGAACTTTTCATCACGGATGTTTTGTTAGTTTATTTCGACCCAAGTGTCCAAATGTGATAAATCCAGTCTAAGTGACCTCGGTCTTCAGAATAGCATTGGGCAGTGGCGAATATGGAAGATGAATGGAGATACGTCAAAAATGCAAAGACAATACAGAGGAAAAATGCAGTAGACAGGACCGTTTATTCCCTCGGATCTTTGCTAAGTATGGAGTGTGTGCAAGGGACTAGTTATTACTGCGCTATCTCTACTCATCTATGATCCCCTGCAGTGGTATGTGCATGACAACCGTTCCTTTGTTTGCGAGGCCTCCACCGGTTTGGGTATGTAACCTCAATACCCACTAAATGCCTATTCCCAAGGGTCCCATTCTCACGTGCTCAGACAGATTAAGCGCGGAGGCGAGATGGTCAACGGCTCACTTGAGTTGTTCATTAGAGTCCATTGGTGTGGTAGAGGGCAGAAAGCAGCTCCCGTGTCAGTTCCATCACTTCTCGTTCAAAGCAGGGATAGCGCGGATCATTGTGACATGTCGCTTCATAGAGGCTCATCACGATCACAGCGGAAACAACACAATCCTTGCTTACTCAGTAGATGAGTCCAACAGTAGTTAGAAACCTTCCTCGCTCTGTGCGCTGACGACTACCTTGGGTAAAGTGTTCCACTCCATCACCAGACGGGTGGATTGGGCGACATCGGGTCGCAAGAACAGCAAATGAGTGAACCCGGTAAATTATTGTGGTAACATTGAAAGAAGGGAAAAGCAGCGCGATTTTGTCTAAAACGCAAATACACGACCACGCTTGGAACAGATTGCGATTTCATCACTACAGAAGACTTTGCGAGCAGCTGGTTAACCGGTAATGCAGCACTCCTTCTAAATTTGTACAGCTATGCCCTGTGTACAACTAATCTGGACTAGTAGTCAAAACACGATCTAGTTGTTCCGATTCTTCGTAAGAAGGGACGAAATGTTCTTCACCGACAGTACCCCGTGCCCACAGCAGCCAAATGAATTCGGCTTGGTACTGCCTAAGTGACCTAGGCACCAGAAGTATAAGCGAGCTGAGGCTGAGGACGGACCGCGTAACCTTGTACGATTGCAGCTATAACCAGAAAAGACTGTTAGATAGCAAAATTTCGTTCATTAATTCAATCAAAGACAAATCACGCTTTCTATACCTTCCTGTTTACAGCTCAATAGGTAGCAGCGTAATCACAAAGTATAGAGGAGGGTGGACATTGATCAGGTTCATACTTTGCCACATAGTGGTAGTGTCTTGAAGAAAACTCATGTGTTACCTACCCGATCTGAGTTGCCGCGTGATGACAGTACAGCTGACGGTGAGCTCAGGCTAACTTTGCACAAGTTTTGAGGGTATATACGAGTGCCGCAAAACTAGCAACAACCTTCTCAATAGCTGTTTAGATGACAGCTAGTCACAAGAAAGGAGACGGTAAATTGAGAGATAGGAACTTTGCCCTAAACACAGCAGGTCATTCTGAGTAAAATTGTGATGCCCTCAGCACTTCTGCGCTTTTCTATACCATTGTTACCAAAGCAGCATTCACAGGATAGGTTGGCCCTTTGCGACCGAATGAAGTAATGTCTCGTAACATGTCCACCGGTGAATGGGAGCTCATGCCATGTTCGACAGTGCTACCATCCAGGCGTGCTCGTGGTCCGTGCACCCGCAGCCAGGGAGACGAGAGCGCCCGATCACAGACAACTCTCATTTCAGTGATTTCATACTTTAGGCCCAAGCCATTCGTTGCCCCACCTTGCTTACGCTACCAGCCGAGTGCAGGCGCAAAGACAGCACATTGAGTCAAATGCTGAGACGGCTTACGAAGCATGTGCAGTGAAAATATGCAGCTCAGCAGAGTCTGCCTACTTTGCGCATTCTTCGAAGAACGTGTTCATTGCAATTGTGATGTTGTCATCGTACACCAGCAATATTTAGAAGACAGCGGCGAAAAGAGGCAGACATTCTCAAGGACATTTTTGCCCGGGCAGGCTGCTTTCACGATACCATTATAGACTCGGATTTCAGAGAGAGGTTCAGGTCGTGTCGACGCCGGAGGTGGTGGGGATTAGCAAAAGCGACCCGAGCCTCAGAGATGCGCAAAGGAACCTCATCCTGTACTCCCCATTTTCAGAAGAAGGGAAACTGACTGTAACACATCCATACTGCGCTCAATCTACTTCCGTCCAAGTCGGCTCGCCCAAAACTTTATGACTGCAACCTAATCGGAGAGCGTACAATTTATGAATAACCATGCAGACAAATCTCAATGCTTACTAGGGTAATTCTGAAGCAGTCTTATTTCATTATAAAAGCCATGGCTCGACACCCAGAAAAACATTAAAGCATTTAATCTCCTTGTCCATAGCGAATAATTAGATCCGATCGAAACAGAAAAGCAGCGTGTAGATTAGGGAGCAGCACTGTTATTAGCTGCAGCGTTGTTTTATCGCATCAAGAATAAGTAACGCAAGGGGCTCCGACATGCGCACGAGCATCTTTAAGGGACTAGAAGAAGGTCAGGTCAGGTCAGGGACCACGGACAATAGAGGCTTTCGCCCAACGAGCGTCCTGTTTCTTATGCCGGTAAGTGAAAAACAGCCCCGTCGCTTCGACGTTGGATTGACTCTGCTTGCTTCTGCAAAGGAATGAATCAAGAACAAGAGCAACTTCTGCATTGTCATGTGTCAGCATCAGAATACACTGCATATTCCAGTATAATTGAACTATCCCTGGGAAAACGCTAGACCAGCACTTATCCAAGCCCCTTTTGAAGGCTTCTACAGTCTCACCTTCCACTAAATCTGGAGGAAGTTTATTCCAAATGTTATCTACTTGGTTTGTAAAAATTTCGCCCTGATGTCTAAAACAGCGCTATACTGTTTGAGCTCCAGGTGATGCTTGCGCATGTGGTCTGACTTGGCTTACTCAAACAGATGGGTACGGTTGATACCACTGAGGCCCTTACTGATCTTAAAGGTCTCTATCAAATCCCATCTTAATCTGCGCCGTTCCAAGAAAAAATAATAAATGAAATACTAATACTAAGCTCCTAAGGTGATGTCCGTACGACCTTCCTCGTTGACCTTCGATCAGCCTGATCGCAAGTTTCTTAATCTTTTTATACACATCGAGTCGGTGCGGTGCCCAAGCCTGAACACAGTACTCCAGATGTGACCTAATCATTGATTTATATAGCGGCAAGAATACTTTTGCTTTAGTGTTACTCAGCGCCCTCCTGAGGCGAAACAGCTATTGTCGCACTTTGTTGGCAGCACAGTAACATGGGGCGACGGCTTAAAACTGTTCACTATGATGACACTTAAATAGCTGGCTTCATCAGTACTCTGCAATGATAGAGATTCCACAGAAAACTGCACTGCGACCCCGCTACCACTATTGGTCAATAGCTGACATTTATTGGTATTCAAAGGCAAATCCTATTGGCTCGACCAATTCACCACAGTGATGATGTCCTTAGTCAATGTTGCTCGATTTCACTAGTGACTAGCTTAAGTTATCTGCGAAGATATAGCAGGAGTCCTCAAGAAGAGGATCCAGGTCGTTTATAAACATGGGAAGCAATGAACACAGTACCAAACCTTGGGGGACTTCGCTGTGGGTAAGACCCCCACTAGAACTCGCTTCCTCGACCCTGGTTCTGAATGTTCTTCCACGCAAGAATTCAGAAAGCTAAACCATACCAGCTTCTCAAGTAAGAATCGGTGGTTCACTGGGTCAAAGACCTTACCGTAGTCCAAATGGTACACCTCTACCGACATCCCATTATCAAGACATCGGGCAATCTCATCTAAAAAAACACAATAAATTAGTAAAACAAGACTTCTTTTAAGCAAGCCGTGCTGTTTTGCTCCAATTAGATAGTGCTCAATCAAGTGCTCACAAATCCTATTTCTTATAACTTTTTTCCAAGCACTTCAGCGTAACCATGGTCAAACTAACGGGCCTATAGTTTAGAGGCACTGACTTAGAACCCCACTTGTGGATGGCAACACTTATCACCCTCTCCCAATTAAGTAGTAGCTTGCCTTCTTGAAGCGACACGTTGAATAATTCCGCGACAGGATACTCAAAGATATCAGCCAGTGGCTTAACTATGGCGGGATCTGCACTGTCAGGACCAGCTGATTTATAAGGGTTCAAGCTAGCCAACACAGTGAGCACCTCCGGCGCAGTGGTAATAATTTCCTGCATGGTATAGCTACTTGAGCAGTGCGGTTGCGATGACAAGGCTGACCCACTATCCTTCTGATGCAGATTTTGGTACGCGTTTACCGCTAGAACGGAGAATCAGCTAGCTATCCTGGAGTCCTACGTTGACCCGTGCTAACATTCCCAGAACGCCGTTGAGGAACGCATTGCTTATAAGTGGTTGCGTCTCCAATAATCCTTCACACTGGGGCACCGTAGGATTCGAGAGGACCTAATCTGCATCCCATGTATTTAAATAAATTAAGCGGCATCTTTGGTACACAGTGCCAATTGTATATGGACGATAAGTGTATCCAGGTCTACACTCGGGCAGCATTATAAGTACAGGGGAAGCTGTTGTTCACCAGCAGTTTCGACGTCTGTCACCAGTCGTCGCACAGTGTGTTATGGTTTGGTCCCGGAGTGTTTAGTGAAGGGCTCCCATAGTTCAACAGGGAGAATGAGTGATGTCAATGTCCAATGCAGTTATTTTAACGGTTGGTTTGGGGAGATGACCTGAGGTACAACCGACAGAGGCAAAGTGTGCCAAAGTAGTTGATGTTCCTAACAATGTGCCTCCGAAAGTTCACAAAATACTCACGCGTACGTTGAGCGGGAGGAACCGAAATTGGAGCATTGATGCGCGACGCAGTTGTGTTACGACCTGTGCCGCTTGGCAGGATGACAGAAAACAGCTGGTCAAACCAAAGACCAGGTGAAATATCACACGTACGCAACGTTAGAGAAAAGGGATGGTTGGATGGGCGAATCGGATGTGGTAGATTGACGACGGCAGTATACAGTCCAACTGTGTTCGAATTCCGTGTACTCGCGGTGCACAGCAAACGAATGGTACGATTTTCGAAGTGTCATATGGTCTCCTCATGCAAAATGCATACAAAGGAAACTAAGTGGAAATCATCGTTTGCCTAACTTTTAACTGTAAAAAGGTTGGGGTCGTTTAGACTTGTTCTCCCTCCTCTTCCTCTTCGAATTCACCCTCTTCTTCCGCCGTGGCATCTTGATATTGCTGATACTCACTAACCAAATCGTTCATGTTGGATTCGGCTTCAGTAAACTCCATTTCATCCATACCCTCCCCCGTGTACCAGTGCAAGAAGGCTTTCCGGCGGAACATAGCCGTGAACTGTTCGGATACACGTTTGAAAAGTTCTTGAATAGCCGTACTATTGCCAACAAAAGTGACCGACATCTTCAGACCTCTAGGTGGGATGTCACACACAGCTGTCTTCACATTGTTCGGGATCCATTCGACAAAATAGCTGGAGTTCTTGTTCTGCACATTAAGCATTTGTTCATCCACCTCCTTCATGGACATGCGTCCACGGAACATAGCGGCCACAGTAAGATACCGACCATGTCTTGGGTCACAAGCCGCCATCATATTTTTCGCATCAAACATTTGTTGGGTTAATTCGGGCACTGTCAGAGCCCGATATTGTTGACTTCCACGGCTAGTAAGGGGTGCAAATCCCGGGATGAAGAAATGCAATCTTGGGAAGGGCACCATATTCACAGCCAACTTTCGCAAATCGGCGTTCAGCTGGCCTGGAAAACGCAAACAGGTGGTGACCCCGGACATGGTGGCACTGACAAGATGATTGAGATCGCCGTATGTTGGAGTAGTAAGCTTCAGGGTACGGAAGCAGATGTCATACAGGGCCTCATTATCAATGCAATAGGTTTCGTCGGTGTTCTCCACCAACTGATGGACCGACAGTGTAGCATTGTATGGTTCAACAACGGTATCGGACACCTATAGAACAATTTCAATTAATATAAAACAGGGTTGGAAATCGACTTACTTTGGGAGAGGGCACAACTGAAAAAGTGCTCATTATTCGATCGGGATATTCCTCACGAATTTTCGAGATGAGAAGTGTTCCCATGCCAGAGCCAGTTCCACCGCCGAGAGAGTGTGTTAACTGAAAACCCTGAAGGCAATCGCACGATTCAGCCTCCTTTCGAACCACATCCAAAACGGAGTCAACAAGTTCTGCACCCTCTGTATAGTGTCCCTTGGCCCAGTTATTCCCGGCTCCGCTCTGGCCAAATGTGAAATTGTCCGGGCGGAATAGTTGTCCGAAAGGACCGGCCCGCACACTGTCCATCGTACCGGGCTCCAGATCCACCAAAATTGCGCGCGGAACATATTTGCCTCCTGTTGCCTCGTTGTAATAAACGTTAATTCGTTCCAATTGCAAGTCGGAATCACCATGGTAAGTGCCAGTCGGGTCAATTCCGTGTTCATCGGATATCACCTCCCAAAACTGTGGAATGGAGGAAAGGAAATCTCTACTCATGGAACCGAATAAATGGAACATAAAATTAGGTGGGTTATAGGGTTAAGTGTTACTCACTTTTGCGCCAATTTGGTTACCACACTGGCCGGCTTGCAGATGTACGATTTCTCGCATTCTGATAGTGCTCGGGGTTAGCTTGCGGACAGCGTATCCCTATGCTTAGAATACAGATTCAAATGGAGTGAGATCGACAATCGCTCACTAGGCGATGGTGTTCAAACTATTGGCCCACATAACGGACATACCTGATCGATCAGAGTCGGTCGATGTGACGGCGCAGCCACGCGCTACGTAGCAGTTTTACGCAGGGTACCAATGGTGCGTGGATAGCGTGCTAACTTAATGTTAGCCCTACCCCAAATACAGACGCGGCGATTATCACCGTCGCATCCAGACCGCAGTCTGGGTTGTATCCTTACTGTTTTCTGGCCGTCGCGACTGCACAAGGAGTACGCACGTGCCGTTTAATCGAGAGTTAACCGGTTCGAATCCGCGGCGGTGCGTGTTACTTCGAGGTATGCCCAAACCAAGCGCGATTGTCGCTGGTCATGTAGCACTGAAGTGTTGGTACCATCTGCTGACGTGCTGCTGATGAACTCTAACTTACGGGTCCAAGAACCACGGGAATTGTTTGTCCTCTTTCAAAACAACGGACACAAGTTCAGAACATTTGATGCACATTGTATTACATCACGTAGAAGAGGTATGTCGAGAAAGATTCGGCGATATCACAGTGCTATCGATATCTGGGCTATCAAATCACCGTGCGGCCAGATATCCAAGGCGGTCTTGGCATGAATGTTCATTATTTCCATTTGTACCAAACGAGGCAAAATGTTTCAGCTTATAGTTCGCAATTTACCCCATAATAGGGACACCACGAAAAACGGTGTAACGGTCTGCAAACTTACTAAGTGATATAGGTGGCTAGTCTTATTAATTCTTTCCCCTGTCCGAGATAGCAGAGGGAATTCGTATATTATTGTGGTATCCTTCAGACAGCTTATAGTACGGATGCCAAGAATCTGAGGGTGACGGCGGGTCTTCTAGCCACCCAAATATCCAGTGTTAAAGAGATGAGCTGCTAAGCATCGGACAGCCAAAAGCCCTTGTCAACTCTAACCAGTGAAGTCTTCGTTTAGACACTTGTAAGATGTGCTATAAATAATCTAAGTCCAGTATTAGACACAAACGACATAGGAGATGGTGGACAAAATTGGCATGGTGGTTAACTGACTGAGTTGAACGGACAGTTTCTTGCTAATTGCTGGTTCAAAAGCACCACTTGCTCGGATTATTGCTTGTTACGCGCAAAGAAAAATTCTTTGTACCACATTGGAAGTTTGATTGGTTTTCCCTCATGCGTAGCTTCCGTGCGGTAACGCAGTAGCTGCCAAATGTCAGGAGCATGGTGGTGTAACCGGTCAAGGTGGGTATCTTTGACTCGTTAAAAAGCAAGAGGTCGACGAGTGTTGCTCCAGTTGCCGTTGTTGCTTCGTGTTGCTCTTATTTCCTTGTTTCTGTCCGGCACCATTTGCCTTGCCCTCCCCTGTACCTCTTTTACTGTCTTCTCTAGCTCGATCACTTAATAGGCGGTTACGGAATGAGCATCCAACAATCTACGAGGTATTTCTTTTGTGTTGCAACCCCAAGGGTCTATTACCTCTGCCACATTAGTTAGCTAAGCAGGAATTTCAAACGCCGGATGAGAGGGATAGTACAACAATCATATATCCAAAGTCCGTTACCCACAGAAGTCAGCACCAGAAATCTGGACAGTCAGTTCACTGATAACAGCCATGAAATAAATGTGCGTACTAAGTACAAAAACCACGAAGAGGGAAACACAAAGTTTTTTAGTTTGCACTGACCGTTTTTTGTCAACTTAACGATTATGGTGCTGATTAGTAGCACTAATGCATAAACTCATACAAATCCTTCAGTGAGAACGATTCTGCGCCGAGCCCCCAAGGGTTTCCAGTCAGTGGTGTTCGTCGTCCTTGGCTCCCCAGCTCAGAAGAATTACTGGACCAACAACAGCTGTTACGACCACCGAGAAGGACTGAGCCCCCGCTTGATTCCGCCTTGGAAGCGAAGGCCACAGCGCAACGTGTAGATACAAAGACCGGGAGAAAACAGGAGGAAACACACAAGAATCAGTCAGTTACAGTCGAATGAACATTTGGTTAAATAGGACGCCGGAGGCACAAGTGGTATGGGTTTTGTGTGGAACAAGCGACAGGAACAAATGTACCATAATGCAAAAACACAGTGTTCGTATGGGGGGCACGAACTGTTCAGACACAAAACATGGTTTCGTCATGTAAAATAACACAATTGCTTTCTGAACAACTCCATGTTCCGTTTTGGTGCACAGTTACAAAAAACCAAGCAATTCTCCTGGCACCAGCCAAGTTACACTTCCTGGACATGTCGCCACTCTGAGTTCCCTTATGGTACTACACAGCGGAATCGGAATCTCAGTTCTTTGACCACTGCTGTTCTCGATACATGTTAAATATATTCTCAGGAGCTTGGAATACTATCGATGTTGTCAGGTGGTGATTTGAAGATCGGGAACACTGTAGTTGTTCCTTTGGATTCTGAGGCAATCCAGTGTGCTTCGAATAAGCTCTGGGACTAGTCTACATTTTGGCTACCGCCCATAAATAAGGCAAAGTTCTCCGTCATTAGTAGTGGAGCAGCTTTTCCCGCCTTGAGTTATGCGGTCGATTGGGCTAAACTACCCAGCGTCTCCAGTTAGTTTGATATAGGCCTCGTGCACTCGCTAACACTACATTCGGGTGACAACTGAAAAATGGCCGCAAGTAGGGAGTTCCGAAGTTTGTGGTTAGTACGCCGTTCAATCCAAATCTTAACGGCCGATAATTTAGTGTAGCTGTTCTCAGCTTTTGTTCGGTCCCAGCTGGAACATTGCAACTAGGTCCACCCTCACTGCCTCCTCCGGGACAAGAAGGAGCTGGAGAGGGTTTTACGAGTGTGTACTAGGTTGGCTGAAGAGTTGCAGGGACAAAGGCAACACAGGTTCCTATTTGGTTTACGGATGCGTTCAATACACATCCGGAGGCTTCGAGAAGATCTGATCCTCACCGTATTTTTAACTAGAAGGTTGGTCGGGACTTGTTTCGGTTATTTAGTCCGGCCAAGTCGTCTGATCTCCACGGTTATCCCATGAAGCCACAGAAACAGCACTGTGACAGCATTAGGACGAAAACTCGGTTGTCTCGTCTAGTTACTGAGCGCTGGAACGGGCTCCCATAAAAGCTGGTCAGGGAACTTAGGGCTGAGTTGAGTGGGAACACTGAATCTTTCTCTGCTTCTGACAAACCGATTCTCATACGTTTATTTGCATTTTTGTAATTTCCTTTACGCATTGCTATTACTCTTTACGCAACTTCCCTTCCTTCCTCCATACTTTCAACTCATTTCTCTATCTCTTGCTCAGTTCACACAACCGGTACAGCAGGGAATACTGGTGCAGGGTAGGTAGGCAGGAATTAGTTGCTCAGGGTGTAAATCGTGTATTTCGTCTTAGATTTATCAAAACCTCGGAGCGCCCTAGCATTTCCTGGCAACACTGTCCACTTAGGAAAAAACATTCACGGGATTCTCCTATCGTTCCAGTATCACCGGAAGTTGAAGTTGAGGTTTTGTCGTCATATAGGGGGATGACTACTTTGCGATTTCTTCCAGTGCGGTTCTGCGCGAGCGAACAGAGAGCGCCGTGGTACTAGCTCGCACGGCTTGCGTATGACGTGACCCAGACATCTCAGTTGGCACAGCGGTATTGGTCTCTCGAGAGGTAGGCCTGTAGTAGCTAAAACACGACTTATAACTTTTTAAACGCGGTGTTCCCATCACACACGAGCTATCCTTCGCAGGCAATTGTTGTCAAAGGCCGAAATCCGACGCATGCCATTCACAAGAGTCGGTCAGAACTCAATTCTGTACCGTGGAAACAGGTATTGTAAATTCTGCCTCTTACCAACAGTGGAAGGTCAAGACAACACCACAGATGTCAAAGATTAGCGAACGCTGATCGGGCTTTGGCGACACTGTTATAACGCTTCCTAGTTGCTTCGACTCTCAGTCGAAACGTAGGAACATTCCTCACAGCTAGAACCCCACGCGTGCAGAATATCCGATCGAATTCGTAGCGTTGCCGATTAACGAGACCTAGCCGCCACGCTAGCTAGAACTGACGAATACTCACAACCTAGCACCGACTGCACTGTGACGTGAGCGAGAAAGAAGTCTGGTCGTCAGCTAAAGTTCTTTTACTTACTCAGCCAAGGCGAAGCATGCCTTATACAGCATTTTTATAGTACAAAACAACATTACCTATAAAGAAAGGTGGACGTTCGCATGGTCCATAAGTTGTCGCACAGTGATGGTGTCCTGAGTGAATATTATTTAGTGTCAGTACGAGTTTGTGCTGTAATTACCGCAGCAACTGCGGAGCTCAGGTAATTCACAGCGGCATGACACGGTAGAGACAGTAGTGTCATGAAGAGAGTTCACTGGTTCCACTGCAGCGTACACAACAGATACACGGGCCCTGCGTAGAGCTCAGTTGGTTACGTGTCCCTTGGCCAGTGCCCCTGGGGATGGCTCATTTGTTTTCTAGCGCCTGCTAGGTCGCCGCATAGTGATTGCGTGTCTGCAATGAGCCCAGCGAAATCTGCGCACGTTTGGCGCAACCATGCCAGCTCGGTAACCATGTTAGGAGAAATATTCTTTCCAAAGATGTAGTCAGGAGAAACGCAGGTCCCAAGGAGGACAAAGCTATCCACCTGTTCAAGCCGCGTGCCTTCAACAGCCAACTCTGGGACAGATGGATGCTAATTCTGGATTACTAATATGCATTTCGGGATGGGGGCAAATGTCATTTCATACTTGGTTGCTTCAATCATCAAGTGGTTTAAGATGACCTACATACTATGGTGGTCGTCACCAAGCAAGGCGGTATCATCAGCGTAGTCTAAGTCGGTTACGGGGTTGACTGGGAGAAGCTCTACGCCAGAACGCTGGAGACCTTCCAGAGCGTTCAACATGAAATATCCAATCGCAAAATTGAAGATAAAGGTGGACCCGTTGAATCCCTTTCGTATATCGCTAATGACGATGAAAGAAGAAGAGATCTCACTGTAAGCTTTAGCTCTATCAGAGACATTATTGTATAATGATTGAAGGGGGGCTTACTTCGCCAGCGCCCATTCATTTGTAGACTAAGCCATAAAGCAGGTCAGTCGACCGGGTCGAACGCAGTTGGGATGTCTAAAAAGGCGACGAACTTAAGCTTGCGGTACAAATGACACTGCCAGAGCAGTTGGCAGATCGTAA